GGCAGACATAGCTAATGTTTGTAACGAGGCGGCGCTGATCGCAGCGCGTTATCGTAAGGACTGGGTATCTGAAGAACATTTTGAAAAAGCTATTGAACGTGTAATAGCAGGTTTGGAGAGAAAGTCTCGAGTACTTTCTCCAGAGGAAAAGAAAACCGTAGCATATCATGAGGCAGGGCACGCTGTTGCGGGATGGTTCCTTGAACACGCAGATCCTTTGCTAAAAGTATCAATCATTCCCCGAGGTATCGGAGCACTTGGATATGCACAATACTTGCCAAAAGACCAGTATTTATATTCAACAGCACAATTGCTAGATCGTATGTGTATGACGTTGGGTGGACGAGTTTCAGAACAGATCTTTTTTAATATAGCTACTACCGGTGCTCAAGATGATTTGCAAAAAGTCACAAAGATGGCATATGCGCAAGTATCGGTTTACGGCATGAACTCTAACGTAGGCCCTTTATCTTTCCATAACCCAAATGAAACTGAACCACAATTTCAGAAACCATATTCTGAAGAGACAGCCAAAATGATTGATGAAGAGGTTCGTAAATTAGTATCATTAGCTTATGAAAGAACATTGGAACTACTAACAGAAAAAAAGAAAGATGTTGAGAAGGTAGCGCAACTTTTATTATCAAAAGAAGTACTAAATAGAGAAGATATGATTTCGTTATTGGGAAAAAGACCATTCGCAGAAAAGAATCCATATGATGATTATGCAAAGGAAGAAAACAAAGAAAACACAAAATTACCACCACCATCAGAGAAAGGAGGTCACGCACAGCCATCACAATTGCACTCAGAGAACTGACTGTAGTTTGCCTTTTCCTGTGGCGATTGTTATTTGTTTTCGTTCACTTTGAAATTATGCATGAGTATACAAATAAAAAAAATAACTTATTCTCGTACAAGTTGCATTTACTAATTTTCACCTAGGTTCTTATTTATTTACTATCCAAATGGTTTTATCCAAATCGCTATATCTTTTAAATTACATTTATTGAATTTCTTTTAACGCGCTCTTTTAAGTGATAGTTTTTTTTATATATGCGCCAAGATAAAACATCAATTATTAAATCAAATAATTTTAAGAAAAAAAGAAACGTCACTTTAAAGAATGCATTAAAAGGAATCTTGTGTATGTTCACTAATTCAAGAGTTATTGCAATTTGAACTAATTAAAGATAAAAAAATAAAAAAAAAGAGCGCAATCACGTTAAAGATACATTAAAAGTAATCTAATAAATATTATTTGATTGTGTATGTCTACTGGTTTAAGAGCTGTTGCAATTAGAATTTATGTTTTTACTATTTCTAACGAAAAATCTTCTACGTACGTATTATTTACTACTGTTAACCTGGTAAATAATAAACAATAAACTTGAAGTCTTACGTATTTTTCCTTGTATGATTGCAGATTATAGTTATATTCTTTTTACGCATTTAATGTTAATATTTTGGTGACATTCATGTGTAGCCAATTATTATAATAATATAAATATTCGATCGCTTCTTTTGTATTTTACTTTCTATACATTTTCATTTTATAACCTAGCACTCTAGCACTAGTGTAATGTTCAGGACATGATGAACAACTTTTATATAAGCGTCTTATTGTCTGGAGCGCAGCATTAGTTAACTAACGTTAGAAAGTAAAAAAAATAAAAATAAAAATCGCTCGACGGGCTATTAGATTTCAACCAGGGGTCTACCTAATTTGCGGAGGTTCAGAATAACTATCCAGGGGTCTAGGATAAGGACGCAAATATTTCTAACACGTGAATGTTAACCAATCAAATTGCATAATTCAAGATTATTACGATAAAAATGAAAATTAATAAACTAAAACTTAAATCAAAAAAACCATGGAAATTAATAATGAAAGCGAATATGACGGATTTTATATGATTGTACGTATTTATATCTTCGCTGTGACTGTTAAGATCTGCATTTTTTTTAATCAGATTTGATGTGCAGGAGGAAATTGATATACCTTTTGAAGAAGAAATTTTACGTAATCCGTATACTTTGAAGTCATGGTTTCGATATATTGATCATAAAGCAGAGCAACCTATCCAACAAAGAATTTTTGTATATGAACGTGCCTTAAAAGAGTTGCCAGGATCTTATAAATTGTGGAAACAATATCTAGATCTTCGAAGAGAACAAGTTCAAGATTTAAATCCAGTTAAATATGAAAAAGAATATTTAAAAGTCAATAATTGTTTCGAGAGAGCATTGGTGTTATTACATAAGGTACAAACTTTTTTTTTTTTTTTATTTATCGGTCAAATGATAATTTCATTTTTTTTCCACTTTAGATGCCCCGTATATGGATAGATTATTGTAGTTTTCTAGTAAAGCAATGCAGAATTACGAAAGCACGTAGAACTTTTGATCGAGCTTTAAAGGCCTTACCAATTACACAACATCCAAGGATATGGGAGATTTATTTAAAGTTCGCAAGAGATATAGGTGGAGAAACTGCCATCCGACTATATCGCAGATATCTCAAGGTGAGATATTGTAACACTTTTTATATATAATTTGAAAGAATAATATGGTGAGTTACTTGCTTTAATATCAATGAGATTGATTGCTCTAAAAAGTACGTGGAGTTACAATTTCTATGAAGAGAATCTCATTAGTCGCTCCTATACTGCATAACAATAAATTTATTGCAATGCTTATGATAGCGGGTTGGATAACATGTAATTGTTTTCTAGCAAGAAAATATTTACTCATCATTGGCATGAATATCACATTAGTTGGAACCGGATCACGTTGAAGAATACATCGATTTGTTGCTTTCATTAAATCGGTACGATGAGGCTGCAAAACGACTTGCTCAAGTGGTCAACAATGATCGTTTCCAATCAATGCATGGCAAATCAAATTATCAATTGTGGATGGAACTTTGTGATTTAATATGTGAACATCCACATGAAATCAAAAGTCTGAAGGTAGAACCAATTATACGGAGTGGAATTCGAAGATTTACAGATCAAGTGGGAAAATTATGGAATTCACTTGCAAATTATTGGATAAAGTTGCATCATTTTGAAAAGGTACGTGTGCTAGCGAATTTTTGTAATCTACTTATGTACGTTAATTAACTGTTTCCCATTGAATATAGGCAAGGGACGTTTTTGAAGAAGGCATCAGCACTGTAATGACCGTCCGAGACTTTACAC